GAAACTATCCAAAAAGGGAAAGTACCCTAGTGCAGAGCCTTAAAGATTGGCAGTTGGAATGGAGGCGGCTGAGGTTGGTTACTTGGAAGCTTCCGAACTTAGGCCTTGGTTGCTCTGGAAACTGGGGCAGGGCTGAAACTTGGGGAAGACCAATGGGTCCAGGTGTAAATGAGCCAAAGTGGGCAGAGGTTAACCCCCACACTCTTGGTTTCAACTACTATTATAGGCTGAAAACTGTCACATCTACATTTTCAGCCCTGACCTTTTTCCTTCAACATTCATGCTACAGTTATACAATTCCCTGCAACTCTCCCAATAGGTATTTCATACTCAACATGTCTAAAACTGAACTTTCTTTAAACCTTAAACCTGTTTTTCTTCCTGTATTCACTATCTCCAATGGTGACACCACCATTCAATCAGGCACGCAATGCTGAACCTGACATCCTTGATTTCTGCTCCCTGCGGTATTACCTGACACATCCAATGAATGTCTTAAAATCTCTTCTATCTCTGGAATCACGGTCTAGTTTAAAATCTTGCCATCTTTTCACCTGGTCTGTGGATATCTTTTAACTAGTCCTATCTTTCTGAAACTTATCCAATGATTTGCTGGAGCTGGCTTATACCAGCTGGTAAGAATTGGTTGTGTGCATCTCTTCCCAACTCTATTTTCCAGGATGTCATATTGGTGGCTTGAAATTGGCCACAGTGGGAGTATTTACACCACAAAAATTGGCAAACACTATAAATCAAGATTTTTTAAAGTAGAAAGCTACTTGTTAAACATTTATCAGCACATACACCTCTGCCAATTTCCCACACTTTAGCCAAACTGATCTTTGTAAAACACTTGTTCAACCATGCTACTTTCCTGATTAAAACTCAATGGCTCCCTATGGTCAACAGATCACATTAAGTTCCTTGTCATAGCATATGAGGCCTTTTTCTCTCCCATCTCTCCTTAGTCTCATAACTTCTCTGCTAGCTTAAAGGTCATACACTGGCTCACTCTGGCCTAAATTGCCTCATACATGTATTTTGTTTGGCCTGAACACTATCTTTAATTTTTTTGGGCCAACATTTAAGACTATAGGAAAAGCTACCTCCAAATCCACATTTCTGACTTCTCTTGAAAAATTACACCAGCCCTTCATTCATGCATATGGGATCAAGGAACGGAGCAGCAGATGCCCCCTTTGAGAGGGCACGTGCACCACAGCTCACCCATTTCTACCATTCACTCACACAAATGATGCACCTGCACCCTCACTTAGCTCTTAATTCTGTTACCTGTTATCTCTTTGGCCCTTGTTGCAGACCATATTACAAAGTCCTGATTATTATCAGAAACCTCTGATCCTAATTATAGACTCTCTCTACGTGGTTGTCCTGGTGATAATCCATGGTCCCTGCACAGTCTAGAGAGGGACGAGTAGCAGAATGAGAAGACGCAGAGGGGGGAAGAGGAGTAGAAATCTGTAGTCTTTGGATCAGAGGCTCCATCTTAAAGTAATAGCATTGTGAAAATGACAAGTGGGGATTGTCCTAGGTGTTTGTAACCTCAGGGTATTCATATAGAAAGTCATGGACTCATTCATATAGAGCCTATCTACTAACCTTCCTTAGAGTCTTGAAATATCTTCCTTCTTAGCTGAACATAGAAAAGACCCAAGGACACTAGCTCACTTTGATTCCAATTGTGGGAGCCAGGCTTATAAACAAAAGTCGGCTTCTTAATTTGAGAATAGGACTCTGAGTTTCCTTTTAGCTGAGTGCCTGCTGTATGTCTAGTACTGTTCTAGATGCTATGGGAAAAACAAGAGCAGGCTAAGATAGCTCTGCCTTTGGAGACCTCACAACCTTATTGAGGAAGCAAGAAACACATATATGAAATAAAGACAAATATAAGCCCACCTCAGAAGAGTGGTATCTTGGATGTAACCTAGTGTCCACAACATCTGGGTGGTCAATGAGGGATGGGATCAAGTTAAGGGGGAGATCTATGGAAGAAGTTAGGGCTTACAATGGCCCTTCACTAGCAGAGAAGTGGGGATCCACACAGGGGATCCCCCAAGGATATGGGTATGGCAATCTGTGAATGATAAGGCTGACTGGAGGAGAAAAGGCATTCTTGATAGGAGGACATGGTTGGCCACTGCAGACCAATTTCTTATGAAAAAACTTACTCTCTGGTGTTTTGTACCCAGAGAGACAAATGGATAATCAGAGGCTCTTTGTTGAGTGCCCAGTCAAAGACAATGGATTCAGATGGCTCTGGAAAGCACATCATACTCTAGGCATAGACAGCAACCTTTCAGCTCCATGACACAAATGGGGCTAAGCATTATTCACAAGTACCATTGTGTGTCTTGGACAGGTCTGTCAGCATTGACATAAAGGGGAAGAAGGAACAAGAGTAAGAAAAGAAAGAGCAAGGAAGTGGGTAGAGGGAGTGGATAGGAAGAACATTGTGAGAAGGAATAGACTCATACCTCCAGTCTAACCCAGGGAATCCTATGCTGCCAGCCATCTTCCCTCCACCCCCAACCTCCAGCCTTGAGATGATGACAGAGATTAAGAAATTCCCCTGTGCACCAAGGAGGGACAGATTCTGGGTCTGAGTTCCTTTCTTCCCCAGCAGTCTATGATACATGGCTCACTTGTCATCTCGCCCAATTCTAGGCTTTATGCAGTTGTTTGTGTTTACGTTCATTACTAGGCCCACTCAGACCTACTTCTTCCTTAGCCTGCAGGCTTATGTTAATTTCTGAGATTATTCTTTCCTGTGTCCAATTTACTTTATGAGCCAGTTGCTCACTTCCTGCTGTCTTGTTGGTAGCTGCTCCCTCTAAATGTTTAACAATGTTTACTTGCTGCTCTATCCAAGCAATTGATGACCAATGTGCAGCCAATTCTCGACTATTCAAAGGCTGATGCAACCACCCCATGAAGGAAACAGATTCCTGGCAAACTTCTCCACCACCTTTCTCCCACTCCCAGGTTTCTGGCCGCTGCCCCGTTTGGGAAAACCTCATCCAAGGTGGGAAGGAGGCAAAGATGATGAAACTTACAGCTCATCTTTTTGTCAGTTTGCCAGCAACCATGGGTTTCCAAAATTATTTTTTTAAGAGTCAAAAGAAACTAGCAATTAAAATAGTATCTGTCTATTCTGTGAGAATCTCCCTTATCCACATTCTTTTGTTCTCCGCAGTTAAACTAAATATTTGGAGCTTTGCTTTTTAAAAAAAAAAAATGTATTCAGATCAGTATTTTACAATCTCCTGGTATTTTATCCATGCTTTGCATCCTCAGACCCTCCACCCCTCCATGAAATGTTCTCAGACTATTCCAGTCCTCTTCATGGTCTAGATCCAGATTCTACCACACTGAGACTGTTCTGTTCGGTGTAGCATATCCCAAAAGGCACATTTTCAAGTTGAAAGATTTTTTTTAATTCACTGATTGGGATCTGTACACTCACCCAGAAGTATATGATCATGAATACCCAAAGAACCCCATGCCTTTCACCTATAGCTGCTATTTACACCAAGCATCACATCATGGACATACCAATTTTATCAGATGTCTTTTTGCTCTTGGTAACTCATCCCTCAGATGGTAAAGAATCTGCCTGCAATGCAGGAGGCCCAGGTTCAATCCCTGGGTTGGGAAGATCCCCTTGAGAAGGGAATGGAAATGGCGACCCATTCCAGTACTCTTGCCTGAAAAATTCCATGGACAGAGGAGCCTGGAGGGCTACAGTCCATGGGGTAGCAAAGAATCGGACACGACTGTGTGGCTTTCACTTTCATCCCATCCCTCGAACCTAGACGCCCTCATTTACAGAGTAATTCTTCCTGATAATAACAGATTCTCTCTATTCTGCTGGGATCTACAGGAAGCTGGAGGAACACTGTCTGGCCTTGGTCTTTGATCCACTCAAAGACCAGGGACACAAAGTCAGGGACACAATTTGGGATGTCTTCTCTTCAGCCCCCAGGGCTTGATTTAGTGGCATAGTCTTTAAGATCACTGGTTGTCATTAACCTTTCAAACAAATATTTCTGCAGTCTCTACTGCTCATTTGGAATGAACACATACTCTTACTTACCAATTTATGTAAGTCTGATCTACCTAACCAAGTTCCAAGAAAAATGTCCTTCACTTCTCTGTGCATGCATATGTATGCTAAATCACATCAGTCATGTCCAACTCTTTGTGACTCCATGGACACCATAAACCACCAGGCTTCTCTGTCCATGAGATTCTCCAGGCAAGAATATTGGAGTGGGTTGCCATGCCCTCCTCCAGGGGATCTTCCCAACCCAGGAATTGAACCCACTTCTCTTACATCTCCTGCATTGGCAGGTGGCTTCTTTACCACTAGTGCCACCTGAGAAACCCCACTTCTCTGTACCATCTCTCATTGTGCCTCAGACAGAACTGGCATATTTTAAGAGCCAAGCTCTAGGGTCAGATTGTCTGAGGTTGAATCCTGGCTCTACATGTAAAGCTGAATAACCTTAGGTATGTTCTCTAAACTCTGTGTGCCTCAAATTTTTCATTTGGGGAGAATATTTACCTCATAAGGTTGTTGTGGGGATTAAATTAGTAAATATACGCAAAGTATGCCTGGCATGTGTGTGTGTGTTAGTCACTCAGTTGTGTCCAACTCTTTGCAACCCTATGGACTGTAGCCTGCCAGGCTCATCTGTCTGTATAATTCATAGACAAGAATACTGGAGTGGGTTGCCATTCCCTTCCCCAGGGGATCTTCCCAGCCCAGGGGTCGAACCCAGGTCTCCTGCATTACAGGCAGATCCTTTACCATCTGAGCCACCAGGTAAGGATTTCACAACTAGCTATTATAAGAAGAAGAACTGTCCGAAAAACTGATGACCCCAGTTCCTGAATCATTAACATTTGATGGGCTCTATGCTCCAAGCTTTAATCTTACATGTTTATGTGGTTTTTTTTTTTCATTTTCATGTACCTAGGTCCCCACTCTTATGATGGACACTCAATTCTCTGAGTTCACACCAGACATTACTCCCATCATGCTGGCTGCCCACACCAACAACTATGAAATCATCAAACTGCTTGTCCAAAAACGGGTCACTATTCCCCGGCCCCACCAGATTCGCTGCAACTGTGTGGAGTGTGTGTCCAGTTCAGAGGTAGACAGCCTGCGCCACTCCCGCTCCCGACTGAACATCTATAAAGCCCTGGCAAGTCCCTCACTCATCGCCTTATCAAGCGAGGACCCCATCCTAACTGCCTTCCGCCTGGGCTGGGAGCTCAAGGAGCTTAGCAAGGTGGAGAATGAGTTCAAGGCTGAGTACGAGGAGCTCTCCCAGCAGTGCAAGCTCTTTGCCAAAGACCTGCTGGACCAGGCTCGGAGCTCCCGGGAACTGGAGATCATCCTCAACCATCGAGATGACCACAGTGAAGAGCTTGACCCTCAAAAGTACCATGACCTAGCCAAACTGAAGGTGGCCATCAAATACCACCAGAAAGAGGTAAGCTGAGCTCTTCTCTGCTTTTGGAGAAGCTTAAGTTCTCCAGAGTTCAGAGTGGCAGAGAAAGAATAAGCATTGTCCTACCGCTTCGCTCTCCACCAAACAAATGGTTAGACAGGCTTCAAAAACAGTGAGGTCCATATTTATCCAAGGCACATACAATCTCTGAGTATTTTCTTTATGGCCAGATAATTAGGGGAAAATCTGATTCTATGATGGGAAAGCACTCATTCATTCAACAAATAGCTATTCAGCACTATTTTAGGGGTTCAGGATACAGAAAACAAGCACAACCCTACCTTCATAGAACTTACAAGCTAGCAGTAGACAGTACGTAAATGATCATGTTAGTGAATATATAATTACAAACTAACATAAGGGCTCTGAGGAAGAACTTCTGAGAACACACAAAAAGGACCCTACCCTATATACTGGGATCAGGGCAACAGTCATCACAGAGGGCTCACTGTCTGCATGCTGGTAGTTGTTAACAGAATTAAGTCCTTGGCAGCCCTTTGGCAAGAAAACTGAGATCCACATTTGAAAGATGAAGTCACACTCAGAGTGTGTGGTTCTACAAAAGGCTGAGTACCATCTGTGATGGTGTGACGTCCAAACTGTTAGGGTTGACCTCTTTGAGGCAGGTCAGGTCAAGCAGATCACATCAGGAGATGCTTTGCTTTCCAGCTTGGCCACATTCACAGTCAAGCCAGTGCGGATCTTTGCCATCTTATCAAACAATTTGGGGAAGACTTCTAGCAGGCTTCATTTAGCTCTTTAAGGAGGAAGCATGGTAGAAAGAGCAGGGACTTCGTAACCAGAGCAGCTGAGGATGGAGTGGCCTTCAGCTCTATGACCTGAAGAAAGTCTTTCAAATTTCAGGACATTAGTTTTCTAATAAAATGGAGGTGACGATTGTTCCTCCATTTCACAGGGCTATTGTGAAAATAAATCTACTTTAATGTCCAGTTCTCTCTCTCTTCCAATGGTTCCTGGAGTCAGATTCAACTGGGTTGAACCAAGAAGTGTTTATCTGAAGGGCAGTCAGTAGAGCCATCCCTTCATGCTTCTGGGCTTTGAGGCAAATTACATGTGTGCTCACTTGGTCCCTTTCTCTCAGACAAGAAAAAAAGATACTCTCCCTCTGAAACGAGACAGAGTACCAGGGTGATCTTGAAGGGAATAAGATATGACAAAAGAGCAACATGGAGATTGACAGCTGCACTGGGGGGGGATAGTAAATGGGATAGACCCACCCCTGAGTCTCCTTATCCTGTTTTTGCAACTACTTGCTTTAAGTTATTTCGTTAAGCCTGAAGTGACTCAACCTCACTTTTCTCTTCCGAAAAACAGGATAATAGATTACTTACCTCCCTGGAGAAATATAAAGTTTAAGTAAAATAAAACAGGTAATGTACTCATGCATAGTACAAAATTCAGTATATATTAGGCATTCAATAAATATTATTATTAATTTTCATTGTTACACACTGTGTACCCATGGTATATGATCTGATTCTATGTACTAAAATTGTAGGTAATAGATATAGCAATGGCCATCCTCTCCCTTACCCCTCCCTCTCATTGCCCTACTATTGATATGAAATAGCAGTTGTCTGCTGTAAGGTCTAATTGGCTTTTCTTCACTTTTATATATGTTTTTCCATTAATGATGTACATTACGGTTTCAGTGTAGTTTTCACTTTACATAAATTGCTATAATACTTTAAGAAGAAAAACCACAAGTACTTTTGGAGTATGAATTGCTTCCAGATGGCAAAAGGGATAGTGGGAATAGAAGTATTAAAAACGGATATTGCAGAATATACCTAAAGTTTGCACTCCTTACCTCACTAGATAACAGATAAACTTCATAATTTTAGGCCCTCATATGCCTGAAAATTGACAAAGCATTTTCAGTTTCATTACAACATTTTATCAATTTTGTATCGGTAGATCATCTCCCAACTATTTTATCACTTGATCCATTCTGCTCATATAATTATCTTCATTTGCCAATTTTAGTTACTGCTCTATTTGGAAACCATTGTGATGACTTCCTCACTCTTCTGGGGATCTTCTTAGCATATGCCCATGGAATCACCCTTGGGTTCTACATTCACTGTCCTCCAGTCCTTATTAACCTTCTCATCATTTTATCCCTCATGTTTTAGTCCTTTTTCTTTTCTAAAACTTTGTCCCCTATATCCCTTATTTCATAATTTCCCTTATTACTATTAAATTACTACAGAATACCTCCATGTTTCTATACATTCATATGATATATTTCTCAACTATCCTTATACCAATCTGAATATGACAAAAGGTTACATTTCTTTTCACTCTCTCAGTTAAGCATCAGAGAACCCAGAATTGTTCGCAGGGTCTATTTGCTATGTACATTAAAGTAGAAAGTATCATTTGTTTACTTGTGGTAAAATATTCATAACATGAAATTTACCACTTTAACAAATTTTTAACTTTACAGTTCAGTGACATTAAGTACATTCAGGTTGTTGTGCAATCATGACCATTACAAGTCAGTTTTTGAAGATGGACAAGTTTAGGGGTGTCTACTTTTTCTTTCGATAGTGAGCCCATACAGAGTTTCATATTTTGCAGACCACATTAGTTTTCATTCATAACACTGGCAAAGTAGCATCTTTTAGCTATTGAAATTATGGATATTCAGCAGTAATACAAAGGTAATCCAAAAAACACTGTATTTTTGCAAAGATAAGCAATTTTAGGTCTGGTGATACTCGCTCATCATTGTGAATCAAATCAGTGAGAACTTTGGAATTTGATAGACTGAACTATATCAGTCAGAACACGTCAAACCCCAATTCCAGGCTTGCGGCAAATAAAGCAAGGATAGTGAGTGACTCTCAACTTCAGTGTCAATGATATCATGAAAAATATACCCTCATAGAGTCATATAAACTCAAATATGGCCCAAAATTTACTCCCATGGCCAGAGACTTCAGAATTTAGAATTTATATACTTGGCTCCACATTTTCAAAGGTAAGTTATCTTAACAATGGTCATAGATAAGTTTTACTTTAGTTTCTTTTCAAACTAAGTTACAAAAGCAGGGTAAGCTTGAGAATTCAGATATATTTTAAGGTTTGCACTCTAAAGACACTGCTTCCAGAATGTAAAACATGATTTATACTCATCAAAATCTAGAAACCTCTTCTGAGTTATGATTTCCACTAAACAACTCCATAATCCTTCCCAATCTGTGAAATAAAGTTTTTTTTCTTAATCTGCAGTTCCATTGAGCCTCAAGTGAGTATAGTCTCTAATTGTTTTCTATTCAAATCCAATGTCTATTTTAAGACTGTATACTCTCACCTTGAACAAATCAGCAATGGCTTTATTTTTGGGGTGTTTTTATAATTTCAAGTTTAGTGTGTTTCATAAGGAACACAGACCTGGTGAGCTACTGAGGTTCTAATAATTCAGGTGTCAGTGAGCACTACATTCTTAAAAGCTCTTGATCTAAGGAAGAAGACTGATAAATTGGTTCAATAAATATCCATAATCTAGTCATTACAACAGTGAAACATACAGTGCTTAAGGCCGCAAGCATAAAAAAGGTCATGGTCTTGATAATTTATCACATTATACACTATACTTGATCACCAATTTTCATCATACAAATTCTCCTTATGCAGAATGCGATGGACATAAACGAATGTAAACTTTACCCTTCTATTATATCTATAGCAAATGAAGATTCAGCTTTTTTAGGTTGTATAAAATTCCTCAAATTCCTTGGAGGCATATAGTTTATATATGCTTACTCATCAAGAAGAAAAATATATTCATATCTTAAGTGAGTCACCCTCCAGGGTCTGATGGAACACATTCAGTTTGAGAGTTGCATGTTGCAAGTCCCCAAACAAATTGACATTTTTTTAAAGACCAGTTTTTCAAAAAAAAATAAAAATAAAGACCAGTTTTTTGAGATGACCTTGAGGCTCTGAAGAAGGCTAGACAAGAATTATCTCCCAGTACCAGAATTATTCAAAGGAGAGACAACCTCTAAATGGGAATGGGACAACTGAGCTAAAAGAGAAATTTTGTCTTCTTTTTCATACTTGATTCCATGCTTGATTCCAGTTGGACCATGGGGAGTCTAAGAACAGGTAGGTTACTTCTCAGTCTCTATATTCAAGAGTAGGAAAAAGCAGATCTACCACTTCTCCACTTTCTAGTGTCATGCCTGCTGACACCTTGTTCAGTCTTCTTTCAAAGCATGCTGTGGTTCCAAGAGGGCAGAAATTCCCAGTATTAATGGAAATTTTCTCAACACGTGGAGGTATTATAAGGGAGTTGTATCAGAGACTCATGTACCAGGAAAAAGTACCCAAAGATAAGCCTGCTCACATCAAAAGTTTCAAACAGAAAATATGTTTCTATGTCTCTTAAACCTGGAGCCAAAAAAGCTTTATTTAAAAAAAAATTATTTTTTCTCTATAAAATAAGGTGTAACACAACTGATTTTCCAAAACTGGAAGTTAGGAGTTGCCAACGGTAAAAATTGAGAAGATAATGGTTTCAAGAAAGGCCAGTTTCCCCAAGTTTAACTAAGAATAAAACTATTTAAAAATGATTAGTATTACCAGAATTTATCATCTAGAGACATGTGTATTCATGTGTTTTAAACAACACATTTTGTCAATGGCATCTTTGATTAAAGGAATCTGAAACACTGAAGTTGTGTTTCCTGTGACTGCCTGGTCTACTTTATATGAATACTTGTGTTAAACTAAACAATACTTCTGGAGATGCTTTCAGCATCTAGGGTCATTAAGATGGAACTGTGACAAGGGGTAGAGAGTTCAGTGGTTTTCCTTACCTTGCTAAAATGCAGTTTCATTCTTCAGGGGTATAAATGGAGATCACCTTCAAAAACTATTACCCTGAAGAGATTTGACCCTTGAGACCGACAGTTGTATATCTGTCAATACAAATAACTCCCAAGTAATGT